ACACTTTTCTCAGTAAATATAAAAAACACTGCAACTATTAAGTCGCTAATATTGGCATAACACAGTATAATAACAGACACAAGATGCAGAATTTCCAATGTACAATCTACTGACTTTGTAAAGCCAAGATAATGTTCCATGGCTTACTGTATCCCCAGCTCTAAAACCTGCACTCAAAAGTAAAACACTTTATATACTGAAGTCCTTCTAATTATGAAGAACCCTCTAGTGCAGTGGTTCTTAACCTTCCTAATGCTGTGACCTGCTCTTATGGTTCCTCACATCATGGTGACCCCCAATCATAAAATTATTTTGTTGCTACTTCATAACTGTAATTACTACTACTGCTATGAATCTTAATATTTTTGGAGATTAGAGGCTTACCAATGGTGTTTTGACCCATAGGTTAAGAACCACTGCTCTAATATAAACTTTATGTAAAACAAATAGGCTTGAGTGTATTTTAACACAACACAAGGTGAGTGTTTGAGTCTGTATCACTCATCACAGGTATTATGGTGGTGTATTATAGCTTTGCATTTTGTGTTGTCTACAAAAATGTCTCTGTTGAAGGGGAGTGGCCATAAAAAAGTACTATGCTGTGCTATTGAAGCTGGAATAGATGTCGCTTAACCTATGCTAAGTCACTGAGTTTTAAACATCCTGCAAATATTCCTCATTTATACTGTTAACAGTGTTCATCCCTTGGCCCAAAAGAGATGGAACAAAACAACTCAAATTGACTGCTAGTCTACTCTGTACCAATAAACAATCCCCAGATACCTAAGATTTGTGAATGGCAATGCATAATGGTTGACAAAATTGCATAATTAACAGACATTCAACTTTTAGTAAAGGCAGTGAATAAACTTACTATATTTTGGACATTTTCTTTAGTCCTTGGGTAGATTTATTATGACTGATAAAGACTGTGGGCTTTGTAACTGAATAATATTAGAATTGCTTGCTCTTTCTATACCATTCAATTTCTCTTTCATAACAAATATGAGGGGACTAATTTTTATACCCTCAAACTCAAAACATTTTCACATGAAACTGTGAGTAAATATCTTATAAATTTCTCATTTATAAGAATAAAGATCAGGGTACCAGCTTTTTAGCTATCAATTTATCAAGGGCAACACCATTCTTAATCCATCTAAATAATGTCACCATGTATTATATTATGATTTAGTGCCCAAGTTCACACCACAGGCCTGTCCATATCACCTGGGTGGTCTCATTGTCTCATTTACTGTAGTGAATAACTATATAATTCAATATCTCCATGTGGAAAAATGTGTATAAAAATCACCCCTTTAAACATTAGTCCTCCAAAATAAATATAATATCCTGAGGTCATATTCTTAAACAATTGTCCCAGGGTCTGTCTAAGGACAAGGTGGCCCACACTATACTCCTACAAGGCCCACACATAAGACACAGAGGTATGAAGAGTAAGAGTTCAAGTCCAGTCCCAACTACATTGTAAACACTTGGCCAGCCTGGGCTAATCCAGCCCCAACTGCATTGTAAATTTTTGGCCACCCTGAGATAATCCATCCCCAACTGCATTGTAAACTCTTGGCCAGCCTGGGCTAGTCCAGTCACAACTACATTGTAAACTCTTGGGCAGCCTCAGCTAGTCCAGTCCCAACTACATTGTAAACTCTGGCCCAGCCCAGACTATATACTGAAAACTTTTCTCAAAAAAAACAAGTCTCTTCCCTACTCATTTAACAAGTAGTCACTTTCAGGCTAAGTGTAGGGTGTGACCCCTTAATCCCAGCATATAGGAGCCAAAGACAGGTAGATCTCTATGAGTTCAAGGCCAGCCTGGCCTCCATATCAAGTTATAGGACACAGCCAGTATTATACAATGAAATCCTGTCTCAAGAAAAAGAAAGATGGGGCTGGAGAGATGGCTCAGAGGTTAAGAGCACTGACTGCTCTTCCAGAAGTCCCGAGTTCAATTCCCAGCAACCACATGGTGGCTCGCAACCATCTATAATGAGATCTGGTGCCCTCTTCTGGTGTGCAAGCATGCATGCAGATAATTATATACATAATAAATAAATAAAATTTAAAAAAAGAAAAAGAAAGATAAGCCACTTCTTATTGTATGTGGACACAATAGCTACCCCCAACTTCTTTGTAAAGATTTTAGGAAGGCCAAGCGTTGGTAGCACACCTTTAATCCTAGCACTTGGGAGGCAGAGGCAGGTGGATCTCTGTGAGTTCGAGGCCAGCCTGGTCTACAGAGCAAGTGCCAGGATAGGCACCAAACCTATACAGAGAAACCCAGTCTCGAGAGGAAAAATAATAAAAACAACAACAAAAACAAAAAAAAAAAGAAAAAGGTTTTAGGTAGGTAAGTTAACATTTAAAAAAACTTACTTCACTCAAAGCATTTATTTACTGAATAAGAAGAAAAGTCTACCTAAGCTATCAAGATTTTCTACTTTTTAAGCTTTGAAACCATTTTTAATTTAAAAAATATTAAAATAATGCTTGGGAAAGTTAGGAGTACAGGGTC